AAAAAAAAAATTAAGCATGAATCTTGGACTGGATTTCTATAAAGTAAAAAAATTCCCCAACAGTATAAGAACACCTTTGGATCGAAAGAAAGGCGAGTGACTTAAATGCGAACATATTGTTCAAAGATTTTGAACGACAAACAAGGTCCTTAAATTTGTTTCATCTTTTTAAGCGTCCCAACACTTACGAACGGGGTTGTACGCAAATATTGAAGGAAAAACTCACGTTTATGTTGCCGAGGTGTGTCGGAGGGCTGATACCCCTGCGGCTTCCGCCGCCTCCGACCTCCGCGTCCAGCTTGCCGGCTCGGTCAGCCTCGTGGATCCAAAAAAACGACGACACGGCGACGATGCACAGTTCTCCGGTGATCCTTAAAACTACGTTCGCTCCTCAGAGCGGTGTGTCCATGCCGAGCCACCGTCCACACTGACCGATAAAAAACACTGTGTCACAAACTCGATTCACTGGCCGATTAACAAGATACCGGAACATTCTTTCCACGCCACGCCACTAGTGTATCGCGCGGCTGCTTCAGTTCGACTGAGTGAGAAATTTTCCACGCGTTTGCCCTTCGCAACAACGACAACAGACCGCCGGCGATATCGAGTCGGACGAAGATTAACTGCGTGACTTCTGTTTCGGAGCGCGCCAATTCCGAAGGTCGTGTCGCGTTTTTGCCGATCCGGTAAACACAACAAGCCACCGGCACGTATTTCTTTTCTTGGAATTCGCGCATCGATCGATCACAACACCGCGAATTGTTATTGACGGAATTAGAAGAAAGTCTAACGTACAGTTCTGTAAGGTATTAAACACGGGCACATGATTCGGAATATCGACGATCGACGTTTTGGACCGCGTCACGCAGGCAGTTCGAAGAGAGCGAGGGGTGAAATTGATTTCGTGGCGCGCGAATCGCGAGCGGATCGCGTTTCGATCGGTGACATGCGCGCGGCTACGAACCTGTTCGTCCCTTCCTCGCCCTCTCGACGGCAGGTATCAGCGCGTGCATACGTCCGGTAGCAATGGTGAGAAGCGAGCATTCACGGATATAACGAACAATGACAACGACGACGACGATGACAATGACAACAGCGACGACGACCAGTCGGCGTGGTGCGTGTCCGCCTTAAGGGCCGTCCGTCGCAGACGCATGCTCGCGGCACGTCGCAGCCTCTCGCACTGACCGCGCGTA